AACTTAACAAGTCAAAAGTAATTTGTAGTATATCAAATATTCTGAAGATTTTTGTTCATATCTCCTACCTATAGCTTTCTTTGGTTCTCTCCTCAATCTCAAACTTCCTTGAAACTACTTGTATATTTAATCTACAAGTATATCATCTATTACAATTATATTAATAATTTACAAAAACTATGTTCTATATACCTATCAACTGATATAGAAATTGATAATAGTGTTATAGTAACTGTTATTCAAGAATTAAGTACTGCTCAGAAAAAATATTCTAGTAGCTTTTCAGAAAAATCTTCTAACAAAAAAGCAAAAAAAGTTAGTGAAAAGGTCTCAAGTAACTAAAACAACTTATAGAAGAATTATTAACTGATATTCTCATTGTTGATAGAAGCTTAGAAGAAAAAAGTTATACAACTGATACTAGAGGTATTTTTTTGAAACTTTTTAATAGAATTGATAATACTGAATCTAAAAACAAAGATATATCTTGTGACTTTATCACTAGCTACTTTTATTTTGAAAAGGCTTTATATAATTGATATAAAGAGCTAAAACTCACTTATAGTAAAGATAGAACTAGAGCTTTAGTCAAAAGTAAAATTAGGAAAGAAATTCCTAAAGTGAAATTCTCTAATGATACTTTATAAAAAAGAATGAAAAGAGCTCAAAGGATATTTAAAATTTTAAATAGTATAGGTAAAAAGAAAATAATACAGGTAAAATCTATCCCTTCAAGTTTTATTCTGAATCTTACTATAGATAATACTGATTATATAATTGCTAAAGTTTTAAAATAGTCAGAAAGTATATAATACTATGTTATATTCTACTACATTCTAGTAATATAGTATACTACTTAGTAATTAGAAAAAATAGTATTTTCTTATAGTCATATTTCAAAAATGTATTAATAAAATATTTTATAAAAGTTTTTACTTATATTAAATTGGTAATTTTTAAACTAATGTATTAATTGCTTATTACTCCATGTGTATTAATAATAATTATTAAATATATGCTATAGCCTATAGATTAATACTATACTTTAGTAATATAGTATCCTGTCTTAGCAACTAAACACTATATCTCATTGCGCAAAATGAACTGATTATTGAAAAAATATTTAAATCTGCTCATATCAAACTTAGTGATATGTATTTGTTAAAATTATTTTGTATAGATATAAAATTTATTTGTTTTTTTTTTTTTTTTTTTTACTTTTAAGGTGGCTTACATTGCCGAGCGGATTTTATTAGTT